TTATTATTATTATTATGCTTGTCCTTCCCTTAGCACAACTTTAATGCCCTGCAAATACGCCATAAAGAATGAACAATTCCGTTTTGATCTCGTAGAAATATAAATTACATATCAGAGACTCAACTTGGTTTCAGTAAGAAAATGAACAAATGAAAGAAAAAAAAGAAAGACAGAAAGTTAAAGGTTTTAAACCTCTATTTTATTGAATAGGAAAAAGTTTTCAAATTCAAATTTTTTCATGTGTACCACCTTACTTCTTAAAATATCGACCAGCATTATAATTATGATTGTTATTGCAATATTTTGTTAAAGTTGTTAAGCTCATATATTTAACAATGCGATAGGGGAATTTCTACGGATAATTTATTATCGTAGAACTCACCATTCATCAGAAATTTAAAGTAGGAAAAGTGTGATATTTTCACGGGTACTTCTATTTATTATTATTATTATTAATATTTTTATTATTATTACATAATAAAAGTAATAATAAATTAGTTCGACCCAGTCGTAGGTGAACCTCAGTTGATATTTATAGTCATAGTCGATAGCTTCATAATATATACTACGTCAGGTTTTGAATTCAGGGTTCTTCCTTCTAGACTAGTTGCCAGCCACTACAAAATTGTTCAGTCTGCCTTGCTATTTAATCCATTGCTGGGAATAGTGAGAAAAAATGGATTCATACTTTTCCTAAGGGTAATTGCGCGAAAGCGAATATAACGAACTTGACTCGCCGATTTTTGCCTATAAAAGCTGTTATATAACGGGCAACAATACACACACACATATACATATATATATATATATATATATATATATATGAATAATCATAAAAGTCTTTTTACCTCATGTGAGGGAATAGAGTATTTCGGCAGACGATGAAAGAGGCCGTCTGTCTTTTCAACCCCGACCGCCACATCGGGTTTGAAAAGACAGACGACCAATTTCATCGTCTGCTGAAATACTCTATTCCCCAGATGAGGTAAAAAGATTTGTTTTTTGATTATTCATTGATATTAATCTGTATAAATAAAATACATCGATCTCTCTTTTGTGGATCTGTTTTAATATTTTTACATTACTAGTATCCGTACTATATACCCACGGATTTATGTTACCTTTACTATATATATATATATATATATATATATATATATATATACACACATACATATATATATATATATATATATATATATATATATATATATATATATATATATACATTGTATGTGGCATTCACCCTTAATGAACTGACCGGTAAAAGGTCAAGATGAAGACAAGTGGTGTTGATAGTGGTCACGTTCTAGCCGTATTCTGGCAACTTAGATGGCTGCTTGATCACGGTAAAGGTCAAAATTCCCCGAGTTCTTCAAAATTCTAACCAGTCAAAAGTAAGCAAGGAATTTAAATTTATTGAAGAGAACGACTTTGAAAATCAGCTTTTGAAAATGCTGGATTTTACTCGAGTCCAGCCTCCATGTATTGGCGCCATCGGTAATTATTCAGCTATCTCAGCCTCCACCCTCTTGCAAGGTTCAGTATGCTTAGTTTAATTCAGAAACGTGATTAAATGCGAAATCGAAAGATTTCGTTACCCTAAGGTCTTAAAGAAGACATTAGAGTCTACAGACTGGCGCTAAAAACCGCAAGCAAACGTTTACCTAATAGCAGAAAGCATTACGCTTGATCACTTCTAACACTAAAAACGAAAGACAAGTATACGATCCATCACTAATGATCCAGGAAAAATATTCGGCTCCCTGTAACGCTCCTGTAAATACCTGACTTCTCGTGTTATCCTCTACCTTTATAAGAGGCAGATAAGGGATAAAATGGAGCTATATTCAGGCGGAAGCTGCACAGTTCTCACTTTCCAGTCTTGATAGAGTCTAAAAGTATCTCTCCGAGTCCTTGTTGGACAGGAATTATTTTCAACCCCACAAGGTCACTCTCACAGTCAGGATATCGCGAATCTCTTACTGCTCTTAACGCTACTTCCATTGAAAGGGCTCGGAAGAACTACATTGCCTGGTTCTGACAGGTCTAACTTCCATGCCACTTACATGGTAGCAAACCACTCCCATTCCCTCCGTATTCCATTGGTGAGAAGTAAGCTCCACTCAAACAGCTTCTTTCCACGAACCATTGCTTTATGTTTCCCCGATCACTAACCTGTTCAAGTTAACTGTCATCTTCACCTGATATCCATATAAACTACTCCTTAACGTAACCATCTACCTCGAGTAGTCCCAGAAACTTGTAAAAGGTGAATCTTACTGTAAAAACATCTGCAATTATAAGGGAAATAATTATATAATGAACATATTAACAACACCTTAAGTAAAAGGTTAAGAAGAACTCCTATCATTAAAAGAATGAGCGACAACAGTGAAATTTAAGTTTTAATTTTTCTGAAAAACAGTTTTAAGAAAAAGGTTTAATAAATTTCGAGCAACATTAACGCTGTTTGGTCAATGAGTGTCGAATATTTCCTGTATGGAAACGTCTAATTTCATATTATGTATTTAAAATGTTTCTATAGGAGTGCATTGTAGATTGATCTACTGAAAAAAAAACTGTTAAGCTATTAACTACGAAAAATAAAAGGTTGGGAAGAAAACTCTTATCAATTATACAAAGAACGATAACAGTGAATTTGAAGAGTCTAGTTTCATGAAAAATATGTTTTAAGAAAAATATTTCATGAATTTCAACTGAATTTAACGCTAACATTTCAGTTAATGAATTCTGGATAGAAAAATTTGAAAATCTCAAGCTAAAAGTAAATAATTATAAATTTCAAGCGTCAGTAGCGTTAAATGCTCGTTTAGTCAATATCGAATGTTATTTTTACTATTAACATTAGCATTATCTACAATAATACAGTTAACTGTATAGAGGAAAATCCGACTTTATCCGGACGATTGTCAAATATTTCCAGTCAGCTTTTGCCTACTTGTCGTCCATACGCTAAAACTGAGAAATAGGCCCTGATGAATTGCGATATTTTTATAACAAATAAGAAAAACCAAATAACAAAAACAAAATCCCTTGAAGAGTTTCAACAGAAGCAACAACTAAAATGGATAGCACATGTAACTAAAAGGATAAAATAATGATATAATCAAGATAGTAAATTTCCACACTAACTTGAACTAAAAGTTTAGACAGGAAACTTCCATTAATGCTAAAAAGATGGACAACAATTTGTAGACTTGAGAAGCCTATTTTCCTGTGTTAAGAGAAAGATTTTATAAATGACAATCAAGAATAAAGTTTCTCAGTCAATGAATGCTGAATGCTTTCTGTAGGGAAACAGCTAATCTCACCATTATCATTACCATGAGATGACATTGAAAAAAAGTGGATTATCTTTTTTTTAAAAATAGCCATTTACTGAGCTTTGTAACTAAATTAATCCTTATATTATGGCTAATCTTTTTGACATTTTGTTACTAAACAGTCTTTTAACTTGCTTTTTAACTTTTGTTGCGAAAACAATAAGAGGTGATGCTGATAAGTTCTCAGCCAAAACCAAGAATGGATTCCAAAAAGAATTCTGATGTTTGGTTAGATTTTGGGAAGTGGACCAAGTTGATAACTTGTCAGAACCTTTTAGTATTTTGGTTGATAAATCTTTTTTTCAGCTTTCATTTAGTGTCGTGTTTTTTTAGATTAAGATACTAGTCCAAACAATGTGTGGATCATAAAAATGTCTGATCTAAGAGCTTCAGCAAACACTTTGGTGTATGTAGTCAAATATCTGTGAGTTCTAAGAAATATTTTGCCAAAGTACCATTGATTTGTCTGTGTTAAGAGAAAGATTTTATAAATTACAATCAACAATAAAGTTGTTTGTTCAATGAATGCTGAATGTTTTTTGTACCAAAACGGTTATTTTCATCATTTTCATTAGTATTTGGTAACTGACAATAAAAATCCTGATTTATTTTTGTCTTGAAGTATCATTGATGCTGGAAAAATATAAATAGCAAAACACTCTCGATCAGAAGGTTTAATCGAAAAGAAATTAACACATAGGATTTCAAATATTAACTTTAGAAAAACCAAAAGCTTTTTTAAACATATACAAATCTATGTCTGTGTAGCTGATTTTGTCTATTTACACAACTCGGTGCCTTCTAAACCCGTGAAAACGACTCTGAAAGTCAAAGTTTGAATTTGTCTGAACAAAACAGCTAGCATTTGTTGGCTTCCTATATATATTTGGGGTGCTTCATACTATCGATTACCCTCTTTAGTGAAAGAATTCGCTTAAAGGAAATAACAAGACCTTTTCTTAGGTCAATTCCAACGAAGATTTGTTCACAGTCATCAAATATCACTGGGCTGCCAGAAGCGCATATATTTATCCATTGTTACAATCAAAGTTGCAATCAACTAACTTTTATTTCGTTTCTCTATCCCCAAGCCATGAATACAAATCAAGCAGAGAAGAATGGTCGGTAATATCACTGAGAAATGTCGTAACGATCGACATGGATGCCTTTGCCCCTAAAGCCTTTTTTCTCTTTTCTACTTAAATTCAATTCGAACGAAAAGAAAATCTACGATATTCATGCATGAGCAATACTCGAATCGCTGATGGAAAACAACGTTTCAAAGTTTATCCGCTGTTGGAGATTTATTGCATAAGAATAAGATCCTCTATTACCGAGGCCGCTCTAATTGTTGTCTGGTCTGCTGGATTCGAAAGAAGAGACAAAGGGAACGGGTTTCGGATTGAATTTAACTGTTTAAAGATTTTATCTCTACAATTTTTAATCAACATAAATTGTTCTTTTATTTTGATTACAGGGTCTGGCACAAGAACATGATCTCTGTCACGTGAGACGCCATCAGTGCAACACTTAAACGTCAGCAATCAAAGATTGAGTTTTGCTACGTTTTGGCGATTGACTCCCAGAACAAATGAAATCATCATCATCATCATCATCATCATCATCATCATCATCATCATCAGGCCGAATCACGTTAAAACACCTTTTCCCATACGACCACCGAAATTAAGCAATGTCGAACCTGGTCAGTACCTAGATGGCTGACCACTTGGAAATACCATATGCTGTAAGCTTGGATTTGACGGTTGGGTAATGGATAATGTCTAGGAATTGTTAATCGGAGAGCCGAGATCCAATTCGCGTTAAGTTCGTTATAATCATTTAAGCACAAATACCTTTGGAAAGTTATGAATCCACCTCTTCTCCTCCAGCTATGGGTTAATTAATCAGAGTTGTATAACTAAATCATTGTTATTTAAAAAAAAATAAAATAAAAATAAACATTGTCTACAAAATATTTAAAATTTGGCATTAAATAATCCACAGAGATTGATACGCCGTTCAGCAAAACAACCAGCTCACCAGCAGACCCATTATCGGGTGTTGTCGTTAGATCTGACCACTTTCCCCTGCATATCTGGGTTGAAAGACTAATTATTATTTTAAGTATTTTTTTAATATTATTCATCTAACAGAAGGTAAGATTGCCACTCAAGGTAGAAAGTCCCTGAGTGAGGATATTTTAAGTTAGGTTCAATATCACTATTACAACATATGAATAGCAAAACTCTTCAATTGGCATTAAGGGTAAATTATATTTAATACCACGGTGGAGTAATAGATAGCTGCTCGAATTGACTCAGAGAGCCGAGTTCGAATTCCAGTCGAAACCATTACAATCACTTACGTGCTAATACCCTTGGGATATGAATCTTCTTCTACAAGACTATGGGCAAATAGCAGGAAAGACCGAGTTCTCTTACCTTGAATGGCAACTGGTCTACTGCAGAAAGAAATGACAACCTACTGCCTTGTCAGTCATGTACCGAAAAGATACATGATCGTCTAAGCGTGTATCACGCATGGCCCATAACTGACTGATATTTAATACGCAATAAATTGTGGAAAAATAAGTGAAATTACCTGCGTGTCGATTGCGGTCAGACGTGGGAGGCGGAGTGTTTGCCATGGCTTGTTTTTCAAAGCGAGGCCGCTCCAAGAATTGGTTTTTGGAATCTTTTTTACCGGAAGAGATGGGATGCGCAGTCTTGCCACCTTATTACTTAAGGCCTGCCTTCCTCCCTTTTTTCTGAGAGGAAATTTATGAGAACAGAGTAATTCGACGTGCTCTCTTTCTCTCATTAGTAATTGATCCCTGACTGAAATTTGGATCGTGAAACTAGACAGAGTTTCGCAGCACCTACTGTACCTGACCGGCTTCTGATTTATCCTTTGAATCGAAAGGAATTTTCGTGCCGTGTTTATTTTCTTTTTTCTATAAATCTCTCGTTATTGTTGTTTCTGCACTGTGGTGATAAGGCGGACATCTTTCTTGAAGATGAAGATAGGTGGAAGGCTGAATCTGTCACGCGGAGAGGACGTTACCACTCGTATATTCTCTGTATTTCGTGGCCAAATACAGGAATATGTGACGGAGATCGAGATCTGCATGAGCAAATTAGAACTCTCTTTCTCATCCGAGAGCGAGCGGGAGAAGATACACACCGATTAGCTGACTCCCCAGTTGACGATTCATAGGGAGCTTGACACAGCCCTATTTCCATTTGACTCTGGTGTCTTCCTGGGTCAGATTCCCTCTTCAGATTCTCATGATTTTCTATCTGGCAGAGGTGTGACCTCCTTTACTGTCAAACCCCCGCAAGCACAGATAGATTGTACCCACCTTCAAGTGTCTGGATATAGCATGAGCTTCTAAAAGTTCTTGTCTCGTTTCTTGAACTGTCTGGCAGGCATGGTTAATGGTGCAGATAAGTCTGAATTACTTAAAATGTTCCCTTTCTGACAGACAACCATTTCAACGTGGTCAACAGGAATTACCAAATCGCTCTCAAAATTCTCAAAACTGAATACTTGAACGTGGACGAAATCATCGAGCAAGTGTTCCAGGACATAACTGATTACCATCCCAAAGGTGAGAGGTCCTATTCCGACCTTCGGAACATTTTATCTTTATCAGCGTCGCTTCTTGGTGAACTGGGAAGCTCCTTTGCTTGCGACCCAACCCCCGACGTTCTTTCGGCTGGAGCCCGCTTCATGGCGAAATTACTTTTCATCAAGTTTCCTGGAGTGCTGAAGGGAAAAGTTATTCAGTAATGCGAAAGGAGGATACCACCATTGTCATCCATTTTGCAAGAGACGGCATTAAACGACTACTATTTAAGGGAAATGAATTGCCTGGCATTCCCCACAGGGTTGATAGGTTTCCGGTGGAAACCCAATCCCCATCCTCAGAGATCTGGAAATGTCATCATTCGCAAGGATTCCTCATTTCGGGTTATCTCGAACTTTCGGGCCTCTGGCGGATGGTGCTCATGTAATCTATCAGCTATTGTATGCGTGACCTTCGATAGAAATGGCAGAACTGTTTCCATCAACTGTTTACTGGATACAGAGAGCGCTCGTACGTATTTGTTCGGGGAGGTGTTGCTCTCCTTGTGTTGCTCGTTCAGTCTTGATTGTGATCAGAAGCTGTCGACACTTCGGGGAGAGTGTGAGAGGCGGTTTAAGAAACTAATTTGGGCAAGCGTCATGTGCGGCCCTTCTCGGGTCTGGTGTATGAACCATTTGATCTGTCGGTTCGAATATCCCATTTGGATTCCACAGGGGCAACTACTCCCTTAGTGGGAGGTTTGCCCAAGATTCTAGCCTTGTATCGATCAAAGGTATAATTGTGTTTGACCTTGTTCGGTACTTGGGACACTTGCAGCTAATACCCTGTTATCAGGAATTACCAAATCGCCATTTTCCGTCCCGGCAGGGCTTGTTCCTTTTGAGAGGTGGAATAGCCGGCTGGTGAAGATACTCGTCTACCCTTCCGTCCAGTGATTTATCGCACTGCTCCGTTGAAGTTTTCTCAACTCTGTTTTGTGTTGGAGTATGAAGGAACTTATACTGACCCCTCTTGGTTGTTCTTTCCTGATAGTCAAGTGCATTGGGACTGGGGGGTGGCTGGAACTAATGTTTAGTATTTAGGGCTCCCTGAGCTGGAAAGTTTTTTTCAGATTACGACTAGGAAAAGATGAGAGTTTCAGGAATCAATTTCCCTGGAGGACAATAAGTATTATGAACAGTTGCCTTGGCATACAGAGAAACTGGCACAGGTTCCTTCAAACTAGGCAGTATCCTTGCGCATTTTGGATCGTGTAGCGCATGACTTGGAGAAGAAAGGAATTTATCAGGAATATTTGGATGTATTACGCCAGCAAGAACGAGGTGGCATCATCGAAGAGATATTCGTGTTTCCTAATCGCTTTAAGAACTATAATTGGATCCCACTTCGATCCGTCATGAAGACTCTCCACTTCTACAACCAAAATGCGACAGACTGCACATTTAAGATTGGCTACTCTGTCTCATTGAATGAGGCCGCTTATCCAAGAGTGAATATGACGGATGATATGCTGAAATTGCTATTCTCTTTCCGTACTTTCTGTACTGCTGGTGGACATCAAGAAAGCATTTTTGATGGTTCTTCTTGAATTGGCGGCTTACAACCGATTCCGCTTCTTCCTTAAAGAGGGCGTCCTGATGTGCTGCTTCCGATATCCCACCATTATTTTTGTGTTCACCTCCAGCTCCTTCCCACTGAGTTGTATACTGTAGTACCATGCTACCCAATTTTCGTTTGATCCATGTCGGTCAATGATGGAGAATCATATTAATGTGGACAATAACTGAGGAAGATTCTGTAAGGCTGCTTGAACTGTATTCCTTTTCCAGGGAGCAACTGCAGGGGTGGGCGGGCTTGAGCTGCAATCTTGCAGCTTTAATTGCCTCGACCTCAGAGATAAGGTGAGTCTTGATGGTACCTTAAGTACTCATGGTAGTGAGTGGGTTAAGGTGTTCGGTTACCAGTACTGTTCCTTCTTGGATGAAATTTGTGTAACTCCCATTTCATGCAATCCCGATGCTTCGACCAAGAGACAGATCCTTTCCGAGGCGACCAAATTGTTCGACCCCTTGTCTCTCTATCTCTTCGTGACCTTGCAGTCGGGTTCTTCTTGGTTGATTGTGGAAGAGAGGCCTGGGTGGGATAAGCAGGTCCCGGAAGAGTTCCAGTTTCAGTAGCGGAGTCTCGCGCGGGACCTCTCCAGCCTGAGTTTTATTCACTTCGACCGGCGAGCACTCAGAGAGGGCCAGACCGGAGACTTTTTCGTATTCTGTGATGCCATGACGGAGGCTTATGGATTTGTCGAATAAGTAGGTCTTCCCATTTTAAGTATGATGTAAAAAAAACATTTTGCTGGGAAAAAATCACCCCGTCTGAAAGTTGATCATCATGGATTGCCACTTGAGATGCTCACACTTAGGAGTTAGGTCGGCCCTGACTGAGTTAAGAGGCAATGGATACTGGAGCCGTCAAGAACGACCTAGTATCTGTGCAGGAAGTTCAATGCAAGACTTGTGCTGCCTCCCAATGTCGCCAGCCTGCCCATTCCGTGCGTAGAATTTGAGAATACTGGTGTCGACTTCGAGCTGGTCATATAGAGGTGATGTCTAACATGAGAGTCTTGTCCTCATTTCAAGCCCTGGTATGGGTTACCAACCTCTGTGGCATTCCTTCCGCCTGTACAGCGACCTTTCTGGGTAGTGACAGATTATTCAGCCGTCTTTCTCTTTACCACGGATACCAAAAGAAATTTGGCACATGCAGCATTAGACTGAATACTATTCCCCGCTTCTCTCCTTGATTTGCGGGTACATGAGAGAGAAGCATCCACACCTTAAAGGCTTGTCTATACAAGGTTATCGGTAGAGGCAAGGTAAACTATTTCTCTCTCTCCTGACGATCATATTGGATATTCTGATGGCACTGGACAACCGTCTTCTGATTTACCGTGGTTCTGCAAACAGGGAATTGGAAGCAATAACACCTAACATGTACAACAGTCCAAATAGAAACCGCGGAGTGCTGTTACACATAGGAGGAGTTGATCTTTCTTCTGCTGTTCCTCCTACTCAGAGAAGGTTGATTAAATCTGTGGAGCAGCGTAACAATTGGCTGGACTAGTTCCAATGCATTTGGTACAATGAGTACCACCTGAACCTCG